AGATTAGTAATTGGGCTGGAACCCAGATTTTATAATGACTGAAGTGTAGTGTAGTAAAAAAACAAAAGAATAACATGTCACCATCTAGTCTGCCTTAGGCACAGTGTTGTAACCTGCTATAGATACAGTGAAGGCTCTCTACCCAGAGCAGAGATACTCAATCAGTGGACCATGGCCTGAATCTGGACCGAAACACAGTTAATCCGGAACCTACTGGACTGCTCCCCTAATGTTGTAGTACTCGAGAATGGTCTCGAAACCAGTTTTTTGCGGTCTTGTTCTTGTCTCGGAATCAGCTTTATTTTGACTCTTGTCTCGGTCTTGGACATAGAGGACTTAAGGTTTTATTTCAAGACCAGTCAAGACCACTCATCAAAACACCTCAATATTTATCACAACTGCTTAATATTTATACGTTTGTTAACCCTGAGAACCCAACAAAAGCAAAATCAGTAGATTTTTGCACCCATTTACCTCAGGCTCATGACTTTGGATGGGTATAATGCAGAGACATGAATCACATAACTTTGCAATCAAGATCTGGTCATCCAAGCTGCAGCACTGTGCGCTAAAATATTCCAGAGTAATCTTAAGTGTACTGGAGCATATATTTTAAACATTTTCCACAAAAAAGCATGCCTAATACTAATCCACAAAACATCGATATAATTTACATTAGATAGAAAACAAAGGGCATATTCGCTTCCGCAATAATCCACGCACTACCCTTCTGGGGAAAAAAAACTTTACTTAAATGCATTCATTATGTTGCATAATATATACCTCCATAGTGCATTATAATACATTCTTGAAGTATTATAAACATGGTTATAACTATTCATAAAAAGGCATAACACATTATAGTTGTGTATTATGCATTATGAATGCTCTTTGAAGGTCTGATTTATAATGTAGTATAAGTACCATCATAATGCAGCATAAAGCATCCTTAATTGTTATACCATTGTTATGCCTAATGAAGTTGTTCATAGTGCATGAGAAACATGGCTATAATGTGTTATGCCTTTTTATAAACATGTATAGCCGTGCCTATAATACTTTATGAATGTTACAATGAATTATAAGAACAGTTATTAGGCTTTATGAAATTCAGCTTCATGGAAAGTGTTACCAAAATATTTATTTTATTATTAATTTATTAGACGCCTATAAATAAAGTGATAAAAAACACAAATGGATTTTTTAATTAGGAAGACAATTACTCAATATTTTTGCAACATTTATTCACAAAAGTTTGTAAAGACCTATGTATATTTGATGTCAAGCTCTGTTAAAAGATGCATTGCTGTCTATCACACCACATGGCACTAACCATGTATTCCTTCACAATATTAAGCCACAGAAAGGTCCCCAATGAAACCCCTGCATTCCCACATCACAGAGACTCTAATCTTAACATTTATAAGATTGTATTTGTAGTGCCTGCAACTTTTTATATTAGATGAGACTACAAAATGAGACATTTTAATAGGGACAAGTAGTTTTTCCTCAAAAAAAGAATGATGCCAAGGCTGTGTCAGCATTTACACATCAAATTATGACATCTGAGTAGCCTATGTCCTATGTCCAAAAACATACAGTATATGTGGCTAACTCATGTACATACAATGTAATAAGCCTAAAATCAAAGGGATAGAAAAACGCTCAAAAATGATAGGGTTCAAAGGGTACTGTGATTGGGTGTAAAACGTCCTGCTTCAAAGTACAAATGCAACCAATAAGGTGTGCCTTATTTGAAAATTTTTTACATTTGTACATAAGTGTTTATATTGAAATTTTAAGGAAAAACATCCATGTTTCAAATGATACTGACACAAATTTAGGCCATATTGTCTAGCCCCAAGATAGTGCCTATACTCCACATTTTATAGTTGTGTTATGTAGACTCAATCATTAGTCTGTTTCTGATCTTGTCTCGGTCTCGCCCTGCCTTGGTCTTGGTCTTGTCTTGGTCTCAATACACTCTGATCTTGGTAATAACTTGGTTTCGATTTAGGTAGTCTTGACTTCATCAATACTGCCCTCTTAGACCCCTGAGAGTGCCAAAATCTACCAAGGGGCATACCCCTACACCTTCCCCACTATCACTTTAAGTTGCTGATGGAAGTTGTTACAGTATGAAACAGATCTAGACAGATATTATAGATGTGCAATATGCAAGTTGCAAATTTATAGTGCAATAGTTTATAGTGTATTGTGCAATGTCTTCACAACAGTAGAAATATTGTAAACATTGAAAACGTAATGTAGCAGCATGAACAATAATCAAGGCAGAGACAAAATGGAAAATGACAGTCAATATGGAATATGACAGTCAGTATGACATATAACAGTCAATGTGCAATATGACACTAAGAATTAGGTTGCTGTGCGGTGAACATGATGCTAATACTATAAGGGGAGGTGGGCATGTCCTGATTAAGAAGTCGAATGGCCTGAGAATAAAAATCGAGTAAAGTATGATTAATCTGATGATTCATGGAGAAATTGTTTACACATAACATAATAGTCATGTGCCAAAATCACGATGGATGCAGGAGCAGGCACAAGGGCAAACAATTAGGGCTTTATTAAAGAAACTGAACAGCGCAAACATAAGGCTGAGCTAACAACAGCAAAAAGCAGAGGAGCACACACTGGGGCAACATCAGTGACTGAACTGCGGAGCACAGGACTGGGAGGCACTCTTATACATGAGTAACGAAGAAACAGACGAGAGGCAGCTGGAGTGAGTCACACTAGGGCTGAAACGAGAGGCAATACAAATGAGCAACAGATCGCTAAAGCCACACTAGGGAGAAATCGAGAGGGGAATATAATATAATATAATATAATAATATAATATAATATAATCCTCTCCTGGAGCCGACACCTTATCGTGGTGGAGGGGTTTGCGTGTTTCAATGATCCCAGGAGCTAAGTTGCCTGGGGCTTTATGCCCCTGGTAGGGTCACCCAAGGCAAACAGGTCCTGGGTGAGGAACCAGACGAAGTGCGGCTCAAAAGACCCCTCATGAAGAAAAACATAATGGATTCACGTTTTCCTTTGCCCGGACGCGGGTCACCGGGGCCCCCCCCTGGAGCCAGGCCTGGGGGTGGGGCTCGATGGCGAGCGCCTGGTGGCCAGGCCTACACCCATGGGGCCTGGTCGGGCACAGCCCGAACAAGGCACGTGGGTCCCCCTTCCAATGGGCTCATCACCTGTAGGAGGGGCCATAGGGGTCGGGTGCAATGTGAGTTGGGCAGTGGCCGAAGGCGGGGACCTTGGCGATCCGATCCTCGGCTACAGAAGCTAGCTCTAGGGACATGGAATGTCACCTCTCTGGTGGGGAAGGAGCCTGAGCTGGTGCGCGAGGCTGTGAAGTTCCGACTAGATGTAGTCGGGCTCACCTCGAC